TATCATTACTCTCATTCCATGTGCAAACTAAGGCTGCCAGCTTCAGTTCTAACAATTGGCTTGATTGGCTAATGCCATCCTAGACCAAACTTTGGCACACAATAAATAACATTGAAAAGCCAGACATTCCTTGGTGTAATGGAACAGAAAGAATTCACAAAGAGGAGGAGACAAAAATTCTGGCTTGAATCTTTCATGTGGTTTCTATCTATATTCACTCTCCACCCGTCCATCTGATCTCTGAATATATAAGGAAAATAGTTTCATAATTATGATGAAAAATTGATTATTGGGGAATCAGTTATTGGGAGCTCAGTCATTGTCCTTTGGGACACAACATTATCTTCCAAAATGTGGTAAAAAAAAAAAAAAGCAGTATATTTTCTGTGCCAGCAATCAATAATACATAGTGTTTATTTGTGTGTGTGTGGGAGAGGGTTACTTCTGTGGACCACCCAGGGGTGGTCTACCACTGAGCTACATCTAACCCTCTTTATTTTGAAACATGGTCTTGCTAAGTTGCCTAGGTTGGCCTAGAACTTACAAACCCCCTATCTCAGCTTACTGATTAGCTAGGATTACAGTTGTGTTCGACTACGCCCAACTTGTGCTGCTTTTTGAACCAAAATGCACAGGTCAGGAATGAAAAAAACAGGAATGAAGTGCTTATCATAATTTGACATTTAGTGATTTTTATGGTTGAACTATATCCTCTAGAAAGACACGGAAGTCTTAATTCACTCAATATTAGCGAATTCATGACCTTATTTGGAAATAGTGTCTTGGCAGGTAATAAATTCAATTTAAAATCATTAAAGTAGACCCTAATTTGATGTAAGCAGTGTCCTTACCAAACAAGGAAATTTGGACCTAGAGAAAGATATGTACAGAAGAAAAACAATTTTAAAACACAGGGAGTATGCATCTAATGCAACCAGACACTGGGAGAAAGGCATGGAAAAAAAATGCTCCCTCATACATTGTAGAAAGAATCAATACTGCTGATGCCTTGAACTCAGACTTCAAGTCTCCAGAATCATGASAGCACAAATTTTTGTTATTTAAGCCATCCAGTGTGTGGTGCTTTTTTATGGCATGCTAGGAAAGTAATACAGTCACCTAGTCTCAGTTTTTTGCATTCTTTTCTCATCATCTGGGTTCTCCAGAACCAAGAAGGAATGCATTCTCTATGGGACTTAATATACTTTCCATTGAGGTTAGAAGCTGAGACTGTTATATAGCCATTTGAAGTTCTTTACAACTCTTAGGGGGAAAAAAGAAAAGTATTTTTCTGAAATATCAATAATAATATGACAATAACCAATAAAAATAGTATCATTGCCACATATAAACCAGGGTTAGGAAGAGTAGAACTCCTCCAGAATAACTCTTATTCACAACAGAAATGGTGAAAGAGGCAATGGGTATATCATCCCCAGGGAGGAACAACAAGGGCTCAGGTTCTTCTTGAATAAGGTGTGGTTAATCTCATTGACAAGAATCAAAAATGAGGAGTTTTCTGAGGACAAGAGAGATAGGAAGGTTAGGAATGTAGCTCAGTGGTAAAGTGTTCACTAGCATGCATAAGGCCCTGAGTTTAATCCTCCAGAACTGCTCAGGGAGAGGTGGGAGTTAGAAAATGAACAGTGATGGAATTACTACCAAGATCTAGCTTATAACAAAGAGAGAGATGATTAAGTACTAAAGCCACTACCTGTATTGTCTTTTATTTTGGAAGAAGCACATATAAGATGTGCTAGTACACTAAAACATCATTTCATCCATGAAGTACAGCACAAAACCAGTGGAAATATGGCTATCACCTATTGATACTAAATTAGGAAATGGTACCCTCAGGTCCTCCTTGCTGAATGTGGCAACTGGAACCTATTGAAGAGGGGTTTTTCTGATATATAATAGTTACTTGAATTATGTTAGAGAAATATTTTCAAATGGTATTTGTGGAAAGAAGTGTGTATATTATGAGTCAATAATTAGAATGTGTAGACTTTTCTTGTATCTGTTTTCTTCCAAGAATGCATTCCTTTGTGGCAATTGTCCTTCTGGTACTTTATGTGATTCTAGTAAGCTGTTAATCACAAGACTTCAGAGCCAAAAGCAAAGATAAGTCAAAATGATCAGGCCTCCTAGGAATCATGAACAGAGACACAGAGGACTAGAAGGCAGGTAGAATGGAGTCATATGATGGCAGTTCCTAAAGTACAATATGTGAGTTCATACTATATAGATCACCTAAATGCAAGTCTCTGGCTTTCCTAGATCTGGTTTTCCATTATGCCACTCGATAGATTTTATTTTATTTATTTTTTGGTACCAGGGATTGAACTCAGGGGCACTTAACCACTGAGCCACATCCACAGCCCCTTTTAAAAATATTTTATTTAGAGACAAGATCTCCCTGTGTTGCTTTGGGCCTTGCTAAGTTGCTGAGGCTGGCTTTGAACAAATGACCCTACTGCCTTAGCCTCCCAAGCCACTAGGATTACAGGCATGTGCCACTGCACCTGGCACTCAACAGACTTCTAATAAATCCACTTAACACTTCCTTTATTCCTTCCTTCTTTCCTTCTTTCTGATGGCAAGAATAGTGTTGTTGCTCATAGGTAATAAATGCTGATCTATGTATTATTAGGTTTCTTATAATATTTTGAAGATTTAAATCATTTAGATCATTTAAGCTACAAAAAGAATACTAAAGTTGGTGGACAGTGTGTATTATAGAAAACATTACTAGGTTTCCTAGTATAGGATGGTAAGAGAATATGGCATAGAGTTTATTGTTCTTATTGCTATATCAGAAGCTGTCCTCAAATTTTACTGCACAAACCCTAACTGTAACATAACCTTGATAAAATCTTTCCAGCAGTGCAATATTTTGGACTTTGAAATAAAGGGAATTTAAGAAAAGATAAGGAATAACTAAAGGGACAATTATAGAAGAAGAGAGTACAAAAGGAGAAGGAAAATATGTCCAGTGTAGACTGCAACCACCCAAAAGTGGAAGTCTAGATAAGGCCAAATTAGCCTAGCCAAAATAGATATCCTCTTCCTCCTATTTCCCTGTATCACAAGTCCTTAGAGAGAAAAAAATAAAATATGTAGACAGTATGTATTTTAAATACATAGATTCTCCTTTCACATAAAAATATGTCATCTAATTATATATATACATATATATACACACACATACCTATAATATCTGAAAAATCAATTAACATCTCTGAGTAATTTATTATTAAAATGAGCTTGAACTACGTGATTTATATCAATTCTCTCAAAAATATACCTGTAATTTGTTAACTTTTCCTTAAATAGCAACTATATTTCTAGGGGTGGTACTTGAATTATAAATAAAATATTTAGAGTTCAAATTGTATCTCAAAATTTAAATCTTTGGGTGGTAAAGGACAGGAAACGCAGCTCAGTGATAGAGCACTGGCTTAGCATGGGCAAAGCCCAGAGTTAAATTCCTAGCACCACAAACAAAAAACAGAAACAAAAATCCCTGTATCTGTTTCCTTATCAGTAAACCAGACATGGTTTTAATTCAATTGAGCAACCACAATTTTAAATGATCATTATAGGGCCAATTATTCCTTATGTGATATATTTGTAGAATTAATTTACCTAGTTTTCAGTGTCTATGTACAAGTGTTGTTGTCCATACATGGATATGTAATATACACACATATATAATTTTTACCTTTGCCTAGATTCAGTCAAAATTTAACAATCTCTACAAAAATAAAGGACCTAGCAAATTTCTGTGATGATAAGAGAAGTGTGGCAAGCCACTTTTGCCTTTCTCTTCCTCTAAACACTGGTCTTCAGCAAATATTTGGTTGTCCTAAGGAGCCATATAGATGAGGTTGTGCACACAGTCACATACAGCCATAACTAATTATAGGAGTTTGATTGTTGAAGTTTTGCAGTTGTAGCTCTTTAATATAATGTCAACAAGTAATGTTTTAGCCTTTAAATTAGAATTTTAAAAATATATCATTCATCCTTATGATTAATTAATAAAAACAAGTGTAATTTTAGTAATATTCTAATAAAGGGCCATCTTTGAAAAGTTTACTTTGGAGCTGTAGGTACCCTAAATGTTATTTTTAAGTCAGAGTTACTTCTCTTGTGCCAATTCCTGAGAATAAAACAGCACAAGAAAGCACTTTAAATTGTGAATGTACTTAAACTTTAGAAAATAAATTAGCTGACAAATAAAATGTACCAAAAGCCTTGATACTCTTTATTCATTTTTCAGAGCATACTCAATACACTGCCTTGAACCTGGGTATGGGAACATAAGGAACTGTATATACAAAGATAAAGTGCAAGGAATTCACGCCACCACCTCAGATCCGTGGCACACACTGTCAGAAATCCTGAGTACAAAATGATCTGAGAAATGTAATATTTAACAGTCTCTTTTATTTCAAGATTAGAAAAAGACATCTTCTATTGCTATGCAAAACCTCAGTTATCCTGAAACAGTTCATTTGTCAATGCAGGACAAGCTCAAAGTCCAGAAGTTGCAAAAGGATAGTTTCACTAGGGGTGGGGAGTGCAGGGTGGGGACAGGCTTTAGTACAGGGGGAGGACAGTGCGTTGACTTTTCTTCCTACTCATACTGCAATGTGCTCATCCTTGTCCTTTAGGATCCTAGGCTGTTGGAGCTGGAGGGAGAGGGTGAGTACACGTTCTAAATCCTTCATTGATATTTAGCGTCACCCAGGTTCTTGCATCAGTCCTGTAAGCAACACATGATTCTCACGGCAGAGCAAATATTGATCCTCCCCACCATTACACAGCTTGCTAGTCCACAGCTGCTTCCATACAGTGGGTGGTTTTTCAGGACTTAAGGGAAACTTTCTAGGAGGCTGCAATCCTAGAGAAAAAAAAGTCTTACCAACCAGGGCACATAGTTCATTTGCCAATGCTGGGGAAGGCAGAAAACAAGACACTATTGATTTACTCACAGTTTGCCTCTGAGACTGGAAGCACTAGGGCAAGGCACGCCAGGAGCGCCCGGCAGCGCCCACCCAAGACCCTCATTTCGAAGCGGGCAGAGGCGCGGGCGAGTACAGTAGCGCGTTGCTGAGGTGCCTGAGCGCGGGGCGCTTGGCGGAACTGCTAGCCCGGGCACTACTCTTTGAGCACTGCAGCGAGGCGGCGCCTGAGAGCCTGCGAGAGCCGGCGGAACAGCGGGGGCGGGGTGGGGGTGGGGGTGGGGAGGGGACCGCCCGCTCCCAGCCCCCAGCCCGAGAGGGGAAGTGATAACAAGGACATTTCCAGGAAGCTTTTGGGAGCTGGGGGGGAAGGGCTCCGGGAGAGTGTTGGAGGCCCAGCAAATACTGCCAGTCGTCCTGTCATTCCTCACCAGTTCCCAAGGTCCAGCTTTTCCATTTCTCCAGAATGCGAAGTTTACAAAGGGGAAGAGGTATAAGAAGGGAACTCAATAAAAATCTTTAAGGGAGGCTGAGTGGCTAGGAGAACTTTGAGGACTTAGAAGAGAGGATCCCCAGGCTCAGGAAGAGAAATGGATTGCCCAGAAGGATGTTATCCAAACCTAGATGTCAGGGAGAACATTAGGAAGACTGCAGAGAATAGAAATAATGGAAGAAATCGAAGCTATCCAATTTCTTCCATTATTTCTATTCTCTGCAGTCTTCCTAATGTTTTTTGGGTCTTGTATTTGTGGTGTATTTTGGGGTCTTGTATTTGTTTGGGTCTTGTATTTGTGGTGTAAGAAAAAAATATTTTCTTTTTCTTTTTCTCTTTTTTTTAAGAAAAAAAAAACACAATGTATCAAATTCCATCACTTTCCAACTGTTTGTTTTGTTCTTTGCATATTTACCTTTAGTTTTTTTCCTTAGACATCCGCATGTGAAACAGGTTTAGGGCTGCATCTGGAGCTAAACTTCCTGATCTCAAATCTCATATTCTACCACTTACTAAACTTTTTAAGTTTCACTCAGTCTTATCATCTGTAAAATAGGGATACTTATAGATTTTCATACAGCTGATAATTTCAGTAGACAACATACAAAGCAATAAGTGTGTATCTAATAGTAGTATTCAATGCATACTTATTATTCATTTTCTGCCCAAATGAAATATCAACTGTTTTCTTATGTGTGTGAGTGAAATTTGATAGGATTCCATATTTTAAAGGTATCTTCAAGCTCTAGCTTTTTACAGTTCTGTGATGCAGCTGGGTGGAATTTGATTAATACTAGAGTCACTTTTTCTCATAAGAGCATGGGCTGAGGAATTTTCATTCACTCTGTAAGGGAGGAAAATTCTTCCTACTATATTCCTTGTATGTTCTGGGCCTTGTCTTAAAATTAAATTGACATAAGATAGACTAATAGGAGAAAACAATAAATAATTATATATGCATGCAGGGAGTTTCACTAAAATATGAGACCAAAGGCGGTGGCCGAATGATTGACACATTTAACATCCTAAACTATGGAATGGTATAGAAGTTGGAGGGACAGGAGGCAAATTAAAGGAAGATAGGCAGAGGAAATGTATTGTCAAGAAGGGTTGCTTTGTTGTGCAGGTAAGAGTTTTTCAGGCAATAAAAATTGTCTTCAGAAGTAGCTCTCTTCCTGGCACAAGTAAATACCTTTACTAATGGAAATTTAATTGACAAATGTAAGTTTGCTATAGTTTAGAACTACCATGGCCTCCAAAGACTTGATCATAAGCCTGTGGTGATGTAACCATTAAAAGGTAGGGCTTAGTGGAAGATCACTGGGGACACGCCCTTAAAGGTAATATTGGGAATCCCATACTTTAGTCTCTGTCTCTATTTGCTTCAAGGTGCCATGAGGTAAGCAGCTTTCTTTTGCCAACTGCTCTTCTGCCAAAATGTATTGCAACCACACCAAGCAAACATGAATTGAAACCTCTAAAATCCAGAGGCAAAATAAACTTTTCCTCTCTTTAATATTATTTTCTCTGGTATTTTGTAATAGCAATAAAAAGCTAACACAATTTCCTTTGCTAATGAAGAAATTAATTATTTTTAGGCAGTTGAAGGGAAAGTAAAGAGGTTTCCTGACTTCTATTGGTTCTTGATTGCCTTTGACTCAAAATAATACATATGCCAAAATGGCATATTTTGGGATGGCATGTTATGAACCTCTTCAACTCATTGCAAAAAAGCATCATTGAAAGACAGGTGTGGTAGTGCATGGCTATAATTCCAGCTACTTGGGAGGCTGAGGCTGGTGGATTTTAAGTTTCAAACCATCTTGAGCAACTTAGACCCAGGCTCAAAGAAAAAAATAAAAATGACTCAGGATATAGTTCAGCGGTAGGACACTTGACTAGCATGCATCAGGCCTTGGGTTAGATCCCTAGTACTACAGGAAAAGGAAAAAAAAAAAAAAAAGGCAAATAGATAAAAAGAATGACTGAGTATATCTATGACTCTTTTAAATTGTCTTCTTTCTTGGTTCCTTTGATTTCACCCCGTCTATCAGTCTATTTGTTACTTTATTCTTAGTCCCAAATGATTTAAATATAAATACACGTCAAAACTCTGTAGAATTGTTTGGGTTATATTAAACAAAATAATTGATAAGTATTATATTTAATTAATAAATATTTAAATACCTGTAAGCTATGAGACTTCAAATAAAATCCCCATTTGGGAATCTCCTCACCTTGTGAGGACAATTTGAGAAGAGAATATAAACTATGAGATCTCAAATTTCTCAAGGAGGGAAAAATCTCCAAAGCTATGAATCAACAACATTCAAAACAATCGTCCAAATACAAACATAAAAATATGAAAAGTGTGAAGAAGGGAATGTTAAAGAAACATAAGTTGACCAAAAGAAAAAAAATCTTCCTCTTTCAAAGATTATGATTGAATGTGATTATCTTTTTAGTCCTGCAAATGTCCAGCACAGTGCCAGCAATAGTTATCAGTGCTAACAGAAAAACAAAACAAAACTGTGTCCTACATTGTAGTATCAAAATTTGAAAAATCATCTGAAATTCTTAAAAATAAAATTTAATAATACATCTTTGGATAAAATATTCAGGCTTTTAATTTACCTCAGAAGTTCACTCTGTGATGATGATATCTAACTTTAGCTCAATATTGATTAACACATGATGAATCTTATTCAACTGAAATGTATTTTGAATATACTTCTAAATATGCAATATACAAAGTGTTCAAAATTTAATTCTTAATCTAATACCATTCCTAACTCTAACCCCATCCCCTCATTTAATTTTATATTTTCCCAATTCCATTTTTCTGCTAATAATTTACCTAATATACTTAATTATGCTTGATATCTGCCTTATCATCCCTCCCATCAGTAGAATTCAAGATTGATGAGGCGAGAATTCTCTTATGTCTTGTTCACAACTATACTCCTAGTGCCTAAAACAGTGAGTGATTCATAAATATTTAACTCAATTTAATAGTTTGAGCCTGGGAATATTTATGACAAAAAGAATGATAGTGGCAAGACTATTTTCATCATTCAGAATAAAATAGATGACATTGTGTAAAACAGTCATAAAATTACAGTGGTTAAGATAACAAGTGTTATTTCTTGGCCATGGGAAGTCTATTCTAGATCTACACAAATTTTAGGTAGTTGTCTTCCAGTGTTGGCTTAGCATTCCATGCTGCCTTGATTTTATGGTACCTCTAATCAACATACTTTCTCATGACTGCCATTGCAAAGGATGAGAGAACATGGAGAATTGCTCTTAAATGCTTTCACTAAAAAGTGATGTACCACTCAAATTTCATCGATCAAAACAAAATACATGGCATGCTGGATTCCATATGGGAATAACTATTTCATGCCTCTAAGTAAAAGATAACTAGAAATGATGAGCAGCTCTTGTGGCTGCAAAAACTTAAGTTAATATATTGAAAAACAAAGAGTTGGCTTTGTTAGCTTTGTGACTGACTGCATGTTAGTATAAGAAATATATCACATAGAGCTGGGGATGTGGCTCAAGAGGTAGCACGCTTGCCTGGCATGCGTGTGGCCGGGTTCGATTCTCAGCACCACATACAAACAAAGATGTTGTGTCCTCTGATAACTAAAAAATAAATATCAAAAATTCTCTCTCTTAAAAAAAAGGAGAAATATATCACTACCAGATCTGGGAAAGTTATGAATTAGAGTTAGTGTGAGTACATGTTCTGGGAAAAAAGTTTCGAGCTTAGTTCCTGAAATGCTCAAGAAACAGTCACACAGTAACAGCCTACAGGCACAGAAGTAATAATCGAATTCTCCAAGACAACATGTTTTTTAGAGAATATATATAGGAAGCCAGAGGAAGAATGGCTAGGGAGATAAGAAGAGAACAAGAATAGTGTAAATTTGTGAAAGTTCAAGGAGAAAATTTTAGAAAAGTGTTAACTCCACTAAACATATTAAAAGATACAAAAGAAAACTGATTTGATAATCAGGAAGACAAAAGTTATATCTAAAATGTATGTTTTGATGGGACTTAAGCCCAATCATAGTTAATGGATAAGAATTAACATCAACAATAGAGCTACTTGAAGTTTTGAACCACTAAAGTGTGTCAACAGAAACAGTACTTATCTGGCTCATAGTAAATGGCTAATTGTTGGCCTTATTTTGCCGCGTCCTCTCATCCCCGACCCTGGAGGATATGACATGCCATAAATGTTTATGAGACAGAAACACCAATTTCAAAATCTGCTATCAGAAATAGCGCTTAATATATATATATTTCATTACATATCAGTAATACTGCAAGGTAGATATTTTCATTCCAATTTATAGATGGAGCACAGAAGTTCACAGTAAGCTCATGAGATGAGTTAGTAAAAATCAGAGAATAATTTAAAACGTAAGTATTAGTTCCAAACCACTATTTTTCCTTGAATACACAGGGATTCCCAGGGCTTTCTTTTCTTTTATTAGAATTTGATGGTATATATTTGTGGAAACTGAATGAACAAACATGTCTCTACTTATCTAACACGCATGCATTTTTCAAAATGTACTTATCATTTTCTCTCAAAGAATATAACAGAAATCCCTATATTTCATAATTATGAAAATGAAACATTACAAAATAGTCAGTAGATCACACTGCCAAAACTGCTGAAATTAAATAGCCAGCAATCATGTATCTGAAAATCCAGGAAAAAACATACATCAAAGTGCTGACACTGGTTATCTTTGGGTGGTGAATGATAAATATTATTTTCTTTCTTGTTCCTTTCAGTGTTTTTCACATATTAACTAATGAACATAAAATTCTTTTGTAATCATAACAGCAAATATCAAATGATTACATTTCACATTTTACATAACAAATACACATAAACATAGAGATTAAAACATCACAGCCATTTGAACTATTAAGAAAATTTAACAAGTGAGTTTCTGGCTTATTCTTAATTTATAATAATTGCCTCAGTTATTTGTTCCTGTAGTTATGCAGTCTGAGTTGACCAGGACCCTAGAGGATCCCCATCGCTAACAAAACAAATCCACGCACAAGACCCAAGATCTCTGGATCTCAGGGATTTTCGAGACAGAACAGAAGCAGCCACACTGGGCAAGTAATACATTTTGGATATAAGGATAGGCCTAGCCTGAATTCTATCCCCTCACTCGGTATATCTCTGGACGCTCTGGTTGCCTAGTTACGAGAGCCATCTTCCCCGAGCTCCACCTTCTCCTTCTAGACCACGCCCACCTCCCCTTCCCACCTCTCTGGGGAGGGCGGAGGGTCCGGCCCCTTCAGCCACTCAGAGTCCCCCATTGCAGATCCTTTATCGCTGATTGGAGAGACGAAATGTGGGCGGTGCTTGAGGAGGGTCTTCCGCGCCTGGGAGGAACGTCAGCACGTAGACGCGGGGTTTTCTCTGGTCAGGTCCCGCTAACCCTGCTCCGCTGTGTCTTTGGTACCGTTGTCCCTTGGGGAGGAGGGTTGTCGTTACCCGCTCGCGGGCGGACGCAGTTAGCGGGATTTGGTGCTCTCACCGGTTGCGGTTGCCTCCCACCCAGCTTGTCCTCGGGGCCTATCGTCTCCGGAGTCTCCCCGTAGAGGCGAGGGCCCCTGGGATCGGTCCGCGAAAGCTAGGGGCCCATCCTCGCTAGGAGTTCGAATGGGAGGTGGCTGGAGGAGCTACCTGGGATGTTCTGTCTGATGGCCAATTGCTGCAGTTGGTTCAAGCGGTGGCGGGAGCCTGTCAGGTAAACTGGAGTCAATTGTCCTGGCGCTGCCCTAGGGGATGGGAATAGCTGAGCCCCAAGGGCTCGGGTGGTCGCCGCCTCTTCTCTGAGCGCCAGGCCATGGGGTTTGCTTTATTTGTCCGTTTGACTTGTCCTAGGAGAACAGATTGAAGGATGTGGACTTTTTTGCTTTCTGCCTTTGAGTTCTGGTCAATACTGTTAATGGACATTATATTTTAAATAGGCTTGAATTTCTTAAAAAGATGTTGGTGGGAGGAGAGCATGAGTGCGCAGGAGATATTGTAACAGACTATTCGTTGTGTGTTTTTCTTCAGAAATTTTTGTAWTTTTTTTTGATTTAACAAAGATGCATGAAATATAATTTTAGTAATGTGCACACATCCCATTTAACATCTCTATCCTTCCTCAACTTTCATTTGTGCTCTACCCCCGCCCACCCCCCAGCTTTGTTTGAGGACTTGGCTTGAAATCTGGCTCTACTACTTAATAATTAGATGACTCAGCCACTTTTGACCCCACCTTCCTCATACATTAAATAAGGGTAATAATATCTGTGCCTCAAAAGTGTTAAATGGAAATAAGTGATGGATAGTATTTTATTTAATTTAGCTCCAGTTTTCATCTGGACTCCATTAAAACCTTTCAATTGAAAGTTACCACTAAACATTTCATTTTGTAATGCTAGCTGTGTTAGTATTCGATGCCTGTTATTTTGTTGTTCATTCAACAAATATTTATTAAGAAACAATATATGCCAGGCTCTGTGTTAGGAAGAAATCATTGAAAATGATCCTTTTAAAACTTAAGAGGCCCAGATTATAAAAAGATCTTCAGTTTCTTACTCTGTATAAATAATATTGACTTTCCATAGTTCTACTTTGGAATTAGGCCAAAGATAAAATATAGCAAAAAGAGTTTTTAAATTAACATTTCAAATATCATATTTCCCACAAGGAAGAAATATTCTTTAAGGAATGAATTGGAGGGCTGGGGATATGGCTCAAGCAGTAACGCCCTCGCCTGGCATGTGCGGGGCGCTGGGTTAGATCCTCAGCACCACATAAAAATAAAATAAAGATGTGTCCACCTAAAAAACTGAAAAATAAATATTAAAAAATTCTCTCTCTCTCTTAAAAAAAAGAATGAATTGGAAAAGCTGTATTTACACATTATAAGGAAAATACATATCTATGAAAAAGAAACTTGCTTTAAATGAAACTTTTGGAGAGCTTTTAACTGGATTTGAATGTTTTAATAAATGTAAATGATATGATTGATTCTTAAGACTTAAAGAAGTATCTTTGGATGTATAGCTTTCAATTTATTCATATTTTGGTCTGATTTCAGAGTATCAAGACTTGAAAATTATTTATAATAGATGACCCTTTATGTTTTTGTCTTTTAAAAAATGTATTTGATTTTTATGAGAGCATTTAGTATATGTCCTTTTTAATTAAAAACACTCAAACTTATAATTTGAAGAAGTCATTACTTCTTATAGCAGCTCTAGTGTATTCTTTAGAATTTGTTTAAAGAAAAGACAAGAGCTCAGAAAAAGAATTTATTGATTTACAAGTGTAAAGGTAATTGAATTTTATTAGAAAAATAGAATTAAAGCTCAACCCTACAACACAAAGGGTATTTTCTCTTTATTAAGCAGCAGGTTGATCTGTGCTATACAGTAGGATAGCAACTAGCTATATATGATCATTGAGCATTTGAAATGTAGCTAGTCCTTATTGAAATGCTGTTAAGTGTAGATTACATAGTGAATTATGTAAAGGTTTATTATGCAAAAATAATATCAATTTTTTAAAAGATGATTACATGTTGAAATTAATTTTACCTTTTTGTTTTTCTTTACTTTTATTTTTTTAAAATGTGTTTTTTTTTGAAAATTTAAACTTATGTGTAGCATGCATTTTATTTCTACTGGACCTGGCATTAAATCATAGCTTACTATTAACTAAGGCTATTGATAAACATCTCTCCATGATGGATAATATTAAATATAAAAGGATTTTAAACAAGTTGGATTACTCCTATCAAAAGTACTCTTGTCCAATACCTGGTTCATTAGTAGTGGCTGAATAAATATTTGCTATTATATTTAATTTGAGTACCCTTTGCCAATATTCATCATCATAAATAATATTAGCAAATAGTTCTATTTATTTTACTAGGGTAAATGAGAGGCAAGCAAAGTGATTTTAAAAATGTTTTATGATATTTTTACTTTCCCAAGAAAATTGCCTTTGAGTATTATGTTTTTATGGAATTTTCAAGTTTTAGACTATTGTACTGAGATTCTTMTTTACATTTTCTGAAGATGTGTTTTAAAATGTGATAATTAACAGAAGATAATGATTATTAAAAGCATAATGTGTTCTGAAATCGCTAACTTATCCAGTATATTCTGTACCCTTTGCGTTTAACCAGCTACCTTCACTTAGATGCTTTCCCATTAGTATATCAATCAAAGATTGGGTCAGGGATTTGATTTGTTTAATACCAAAAAGGTAGGAGCCAAGAAATTCAGTGTTAAGTTTCCAGTCTAGCTCAGGAGTCAAGATCAGGGTACCAGGTGATTTAGGAACTCAGCCTGTGTTCAAACCATAACTGCTATTACTACAAGCCAGAACGTAAACCTAGACTTTGAAGCTATGTAATTTAATCTAGAAAAGACTGCAAAAGGTAGACCCACAGGCAAGTGGTTTGCCCTAAAGGAGGCAGTGCAGTATAGTGTTGTTTTTTGAGACCATAATACAGTACTCAAAACTAAAAACTAAACTTTGGTATAATACTATCAACTAAACTGCACACTTTATTCTGACTTCACCAGTTTTTCAATTAACATTCTTTTTGTTTCTCTCCAGGATGCATTCTAGGATCTGACACTGCATTTTTCATGTGTTGTTAGTCTTCCTCAGACTTTTCTTGTATTTCATATTCTGGAGCTTCAAATAGTACTGATCAATTTCTTTTTGAAGAATCATCAATTTTTTTTTTTTTTTTTTTTTTTGTGTGTGATTTGACTAAGATGGTGTGTTATTGGGAAGAATTCCATAGAGGTAATTTTAGTGTTCTTCATAGTACATCATATCAAAGGTGCGTGATGGCAGGGTCTTATTACTGGTGATGTTGACCTTGACCACTTGATTGATTAATGTGTTATCTACCACGTTTCTCAATATCATGTATGAGTCAAATAGATTGGGGTCTGAATCCTACTATTTGTAGCACCTTTCCTCTGTCAAGTGTTGATAATTTCTGTGTTGCAGCATTTTGAGAGAGAGTGTTTTCATTCAGGTATTTGACATATAAAGTATAGGAGTCACTCAGTAAACCATACCTCTGATCCTGGGAGATAGTATGGATTAGTGATTTTACTTTCCGCAATTCGTATTTTATATTTCTGTAGTACACCTTTCTTTCTTTCTTTCTTTCCTATTTTAGTAAAAGAAGGAGTCATTATTCTTCCTGAGGATAATTCTTATGCCTATACTCTATTCCATTTCCTCCCTTAATTTGTTCAGCAGTCATTAACTCCCAGTGCATAAAAATCAATATATAATTGAAGCCAAAGATCACAGAAAGAGCTTATGTGATATAACAATAAACTTAAACTTTTATTTGAAAATGTTATTATTCAGTTTTACTATCAAAAGTACAAATTCACTCTCCTTCAAGCTTTAGGGGGAGAATTTATTTTCAGCTTCAGGTAGCTGCCTACATACCTTAGCTCAAGGCCCCTTTCTTCCTCCTTCAAAGCCAACAGCATGAAGACTTTCCTCTTTGATTTTCTGCCTTTTTCTTATAAGGACCTTTGTGATTACTTTGTGCCAATTTGGGTAATCCAAGATACACTCCTTATCTTAAAATCCTTAATCACTTCTATAAAATTCCCTTTGCCATACAAGGTTACATATATACAAGTTCTGATTAGGTTGTGGACATCTTTGAAAGGCCATTATTCCATCCACTGTACTAAACAACACAGATTTTCTCCTTCCCTTTACCCTGGGATTCTCAGTTGGCAGTGGATTACTGGCACTGTATCAACTTCCTCCTCTCTCATGCATTCCTTAATTCCCTACATCAGAAGACTTCTGCCCTGACCTTTTAGTTATTGTCCTTGCTGTGCTAGATGTTGCCTGGTTATTAAATGCAGTGCATTCTTTTCAGTCCTTTCTTTTGTGACCTTTTGGTATCATTTGATGCTTGAAATGCTCTGATTTCTTTTTTTTTTTATTTTTTTTTTATTTTTCTTACTGCCTTCTTCCTTTCACTTTTCTTTTTGTCAGCTAGGCTTTCTTCATCTGTCTTTTAATTCTGTGTTTAATTCTCTTCTTCCACGTATCCTTCCTGTGTGTAAATCTGTGTTAGCATTTTAACTACCACCTCAATATGGTTTCAGTACTAAGACTGATCTACTAAGATTTATGTATTGAATTTCCACAGAATCCTCAGTTTCAACACACCCAAAATTATGTCCCATCTCATTTCCATTCTACACATTCACATTGCTTTTCTTGGGTTTCATATTAATGAATTTGTTTTGCCTCCCTGTTACCCAAATCAGAAGTCAGGAGTAATTATGAAAATCATTTGTATTTTATTCTCCTACATTGCCAGGTTTATTGGTTCTACCTGTTTAATACAGAAGTTTTCCCTTATCTGTAAGGTGTAGATTCTAAGACCCACAATAGTTGCCTGAAATTGTGGATGATACCAAATACTATCTATATACTATATTTTTTGCTTTACGTATATACCAATGATAAGGTTTAATATATAGTTACAACAACACATTAGCAACTATAACTAATAATTATGGACCAGTTATAACGGTAGTATAATAAAATGGCCAGCATCCATATCCTTGCATTTGACTACAAGCACTGTGATGCAACTGAGGCTACTAAATGACTAATGGGTGGGTAACATATATAGTATGGATACTCTGGAAAAAAAGTGATAATTCACAGCCAAGTAGGACA